AGAAAGAAAGAAAGAAAGAAAGAAAGAAAGAAAGAAAGAAAGAAAGAGGGAGGGAGGGAGGGCTGTCATTTCTTTCATTATTTCTTTATCATTTTTATCCCATTTTATTATTTATTTATTTCTTATTTAATTCAAGTTGGACACTGCCTGACTCCAATTGACAATGGGCATCAACAGTAACATAAACTAACACAAATCCCCCCCTCAAAAATAATATCCCTACGCACATGACAGTCCGAGAACTGTGTACAATTTTCAAAATGACATCCTTTTGTAAGGCGGCCAGTTTTGCACAAGCGACATTGAGATATTTAGAGATCTAATGAAAGTTGGCAGAAGCAGGAGGGATATGCCACACTCACGGCTACTGAAAATTAAAAAAAAAAGTGTCAGACAGTAAATATTACATCAGAGCATTCCCAATGCTGCCTTAGATCTATATTCAGAAGCCCTACTGGCCTGAAATCTGCTGCCCATTTCCCCAAACCATCATTTTCCTGTGAAAAAGCTTCCATTTTTCTCCCTTGCTGTCCATGTAGCTTAAAAAAAGAAAAATAATAATGTTCTTTGGCATGTTTTACGGTGGCAAATAACAGAGGATGTCAGTTTTGCTTTCCTTTGCCCAGCTCTTCATTATTGTATGACTTCCTTGGCTGACCCTACTTTCCTGCCTGCAAAAGGTTCTTGGGAGACGTACCAGGAGAAAGTTTTATGCCGAGATTTATGTGAAGGAAGGGGAGCCTGCCCACCAGTCAAAGATGATTGTGTGGTCAGAGGCAGAGGTGGTATTCAGCAGGTTCTGACCAATTCTGGAGAAGCGGTAGCAGAAATTTGGAGTAGTTTAGAGAACCGGCAAATACCACTGGCCCCGCCTCCATCTATTCTCTGCCTCCCGAGTCCCAGCTGATCGGCTGGGTCTTCTTTTGTTGCCCTGCACAGGAGAACGGAGCTGGAAAGCAGGTTAGTGGGGTGGGAGGGAATGGGATTTTGCAGTAAACTTCCCCCTGGAGTGGGGAGGGAATGGAGATTTTACAATATCCTTGCCCTGCCACGCCCACCAAGCCACACCCACCAAGCCATGCCCACAGAACTGGTAGTAAAAAAAACTTTGAATCCCACCACTGGTCCCAAGGTCAAGCAATCCCCTTTTGCGACTTACTGACCAGCAAAGTCAGTGGGGAAGCCAGATAATTGCGCTAGTAACTGTGCAGTGATTTACTTAACAACGGTGGCAAGAAATGTTTTAAAAATGGGGCAAAACTCACTTAACATCTGTCTTGCTTCGCAAGAGAAATTTTGGCCTGACGATTTTGGTCGTAATTCGAGGGCTAGCTGTATTCATGAAATCCATGCCATATGGAAAACCCAACTAAGCAGAAGCTGCCTTATTTTAATTTCAACCCCATTATAGGTCCTCAGCTTATGACCACAATTGACCCCAAAATTTCTGTTGCTAAGCAAAACTTTTGTTAAGTGAATTTTGTCCTCACTTTACAACCTTTCTTGCCACAGTTGTTAAGTGAATCACTGCAATTGTTAAGCCAGTAACACGGTTGTTCAGTGAATCTGGCTTCCCCATTGACTTTGCTTGTCAGAAGGTGGCAAAGGGGATCATGTGACCCTGGGACACGGCAACCGTGATAAATATGAACCAATTGCCAAGCCTCTGCATTTTGATCACATGACCATGGGGAGGCTGCAGTGGTCGTAAGTGTGAAAAACAGTCATAAGTCACTTTTGTCAGTGCCATTGTAACTTTGAACAGTCACTAAATGAACTGCAGTAAGTCGAGGGCTACCTGCATTACTGATCCATTGTTTCCTTACCCATTTTCTCCAAGTCTCAATTGATATCACCTCTCTTAACCTCTTCCACTTGCATTAGAATGACATTTTCCAGAATTCCCAGGCTTGCTACATTAGGTGAAAATTCAAGGAATTACGGTTGCAACAAATTTGAAAAGTTCCAGGATTGGAGAAGGTTTTTTGTCGGCCTTGCATTGCGAGGTAATCCAGACAAGAAGCACACTCAGAACTATTTACTCTATTTTATTGTAAGATTACTTTAGATTGGAAGGGCAGATGCAGCTCGCTTTAGCCGCCGAAACCCTATTTTGTCTATCCTAGCTTTCATGTATTTTCCTTCAGGCCCCTCGCTTTGCCCTGCAAATTCCTAGAATGGTCATGTGGTGATTTGTTGTTGTCAAAGAGCTCATACAATCCTGACTCAGAGCAGCAACAAGCTCAAGGCTAACTCCCTTTTCTTGTTGTAGATATCAATCAGATCTTTATTAAGGACACAGACCAGCATAAGGAGAGTGGAATATAAACAATAATTTTTAAAAGGCTAAAAATATTATACACCTACGCAAACCACCCACACGCAGCAGCGTAAGGAAGATGGCGTCTGCAAGATAAAAGGTCAAAGTCTGATTTAAAAAAATAGCTAACCATCTGAAAAAAAAACCTTTTAAAAATGTTTAAAAACAGTCTTTACAAATCTAAAGGGAGAGGTAAGAACATGCTATGGATTCAGGAGAACTTAAAAACTAGTATAGGGCAGACTAAATCTGTCACAATGCAAGGAATCCTTAAACAACAAAATAGATGCTCGTTAAGATTAGTTTTAATCTTAAACAACAAAATAGATGCTCGTTAAGATTAGTTCCTCAGTGATGCACTGCTGCCCAGAACCTGACAACATTATGTGTTGTAACAGGATTTGGATTTGCAAGCAACAGGAAGATGTGGAATTGTCCTATGCGCTCGAAGTATTTATATTGTAATAATGAGATGACAGTAGTATGGATACTCTCTGTGTAATACAGGCACTGGAAAAATACGTGCTGTGTTTCTCCAGTGTGTCTCGAGTTACAAGGGCATCTCTCTGGGTAAGGAATTTTCCTGTTATCAGTCTTCAAGGAAAGCTGAGGGCATGGCATTGTAGCAGGGTAAAGGTCTCTGGTGGTTAGGTATTTTTAGTTAAGTATTTCGGGGAGGGGGTGGGAGGCAGAGTACCTATTGGATTCATTGGCAATAAAGTTTGGGGGCCTGGCTAGGCCCAATTAGTGCTCTGTGTCTGCTACACACTGTTTAATGAAAGCTTTGGCCTGATCGTCCTAACCCATGCTGAATGGAAAACTTGGAGAGGAGCCCAAGGATGAGATTTTACTTGCCACTGGTTTTTTTTCAAAGTGGACCGAAAGTCATCCCTCATAATTAGTGAGGCGAGACCAAAGGGAGGGGGGAGGATAGGATCCAATCGAGGTTGGTTGCCAGGACCAGTGGTTTTGTCTTCTGAGCTTTCAAACTGGAGCCCATCTTCAGTGCACACACTCTGCTGGAAAGAAGTTCCCTATATGAGGCCAAAAGTTTGGAAGACAAAACCTCTGGTCCCAGGGACTGACCCAGATTGGATACGGCAATGTTATCCTGTTATGCCTTCATTCGTGGAAAAACAACAGAGTCTGAGCTTATAATTGAGTATGTCACCCACACTTTAGACTCCACTTTCATGAGTCTCAGGATGGCATTAGAGACCCATTTGGGGACTTGAAGGGCCGTTCTTAGAAATTTAGATTGAACAGGTTCTATTGATGCAAAATTGGGGAAGGAGCTCAGGAGCACCATCAAGTACGTTGGTTGTGTTATTGGCTTAGCTTCAAATAGTTTGAATGCGGCAGGAGTACAGTAGCCACCTCTTGAGTAGTTTGAGGATGACATTTTCAGCAGTATACTCTCCATGGAGTTTCCCTGTGGTTGGCAGAATGAAGGACTATTCCCAGGTACTTGCAACAGGAGACCTGCTCAACCTTATCTATCCTCCAGGAGTGGTTCTTGGGCTTTTTGGTAAAGGTCATGATTTTGGCTTTTTGATATTTAAGTATCAGCTGGCCTCCTTGAATTACTATGTTAGTGCTCTCAATGTTCTTTTAAGGCCAATAGATGTTTTTGAAAGTATTGCTGTATTGTCTGTATAGAGTAAAACAGATGTGTATGTCTTCCAGCAACTTCTGAGTGTTGGTTAGGGTATGTGTGAAAGTTCATGTTGAGAAGATGGCCCACCATGAAGTTAATACAGAAACTGAATAACACTGGGGTCAGTATAAAGCCTTGCTTTATGCCTTACACAGTTCCAATGGCACTGGTGAGATGGTCCCAGGATTTCCATCTTACGTTGAGTGAAGCCCCTTCATGTAGCACACCTATTAGAAGAAGTAGATGTTGATCAATCAAGGAGGCTTCTAGTTTTTCCCACAATTTATCTTGGGATATAATAGAATTAAAAGTTGTTTTGAAGTCTGTGAAAGCAGCATATAGAGAAGCTGTATTGAGGGAGAAGTATTTTTTAATCAGATGATGGAATACTAGGCCAATCTACCATTGATCAATAATAGATTGACCTTCCCTAAAGCCAGATTGCTTCTCTGTTCCAGCCAGTATTGTGGTGTCTTGCATAAAGTTTGCTGATTATGTTGAGGAGGCTAATTAGTCTATAATTGACAGGCTCATCCTTTACATTATAAATAAAGAAATCCATTTCCCTAGAAATAACATTTCCAGAGGTGATGAAGATAGAGATAAAGCAAGGTCTTCACAATTCTTCAGAAGCCTGAGAAAGTTTAAAGGGAAGTTAGCAGTCTTCGATACAATTTTACTGAAGCAATAATTCAGCAACAGAGGTTAGTTTTAGAATTTAGAACTGGATTTAGAACCAGATCAGATCCAATAAGTTAATAGTTAGGATTTCTAGTCAAAAACAACCTTTCGTAAATTCTTCTCTTTGAATTTTCTCAACAGTTATCTGATTCAGGGATAAAGAAAAAGTGGATGTGTATGTATCTTTATGCCTGCTGAAATTTTCTCCCCAGGAGTTTAGATACCTCCAAATTCTTTTCAAAGGCACTGTGTCATTGCAGTGAAAATCCATTTTAAAGATGAGTGTGTGGCATCTGAACATAAATAGGGCAAGACTGATAATACACAGATCATTCCTGTCCATAAAAAGATGAAGCTGGTATACTAATATATGTTGGGAGGGAAAGTATTTCCAGCCACCATTGCCACCTGGTTCAGGCTAGTCAAGAGCAGAAGTATAACACAAGTAGTCCTTGATTTACAACAGTTCACTTAGTAATGGTTCAAAGCTACCACAGCACTAAAAAAAATAACTTACGACTCTTTTTCACATTTATGACCATTGCAGCATCCCCATGGTCACCCAATTTACATTTAGATGCTTGCAACTGGCTCACATTTATAATGGTTGCCGTGTCCCAGGGCCATTTGTGACCTTCTGACAAGCAAAGTCAATGCAGAACTTGGATTCGCTTCGCAAATTAGCACTTGTTACTAATTTAACAACTGCAGTGGTTCACTTAACAAATGTGGCAAGAAAAGTCGTCAAATGAGGCAAAACTTACTTAACCAATTTATCATATATAGCAAGATAAATTTTGGGCTTAATTGTGGTCATAAGTTGAGGACTACCTGTATAGTTCTTTATTAGAGTTATGGACCAGAATTCTGTAGGTTAATAAAATAAATGAATTCGGTTTCAAATGAAATAAAATGTAAACATACAATCGTAGCTACATCTTCAAGGAAATTAAAACAATGGCAGGTTTTACATATGGTCTTACACTGTTTTGCTCCATTCAAGGAAACTAAATTATATTAATCTGACAGGAGCTGAGCAGCTATACATAAAGGCTGTTAAATTAAATTTTAAAAAGCAGGCATAGCATACCAAAGCAGTTTCAAGTCACTGACTTCTATCTAAAGTGGGAATAACACATTGTCCATATACGCAAACAACATTCTGCCGCCTCTTCCCAAGAGGAGCAATCTTCTTAATGGATGACTCATATTTGTATATTTCTAAATGCCTCATTAACCCCATGACTACAGTAGAGGAAGAGAGACAAAATAATATATCATTCCTCACCTTTCCAATATTGAAATGTCAATATTTAGAAGTGGGAGTAAGCTTGGGTACAAAAACCAAAAAGCTTATAACAGTAAGGCTACCATTCCATAATGCCTCTTTGTGATCATCTTCAGCTCGAGACCCAATAAATAACAATAACAGCTCCAAAAACATTACAGGTAATCCTCAACTTGCAACCATTCGTTTAGTGACTGTCTGAACTTACAACCCTTTTTACACTTACAGCCATTTTTCACACTTACAACCATGGCGGCATCCTCATGGTCAGGTGTTCAAATTTCGGATGCTTGGCAACTGATTCATATTTATGACGGTTGCAGTGTCCTCGGGTCACGAGATCACCTTTTGAGTCCTTCTGACAAGCAAAGTCAACGGGCGAAGCCAGATTCGCTTAACAGCAGTGTTACTAACCTAACAACTGTGGTGTTTCACTTAACAACTGTGGCAAGAAAGGTCATAAAATGGGACAAAACTTACTCAACGACTGTCTTGCTTAGAAACACACATTTTGGGTTCAATTGTGATCATAAGGGGAGGACTACCTCTAAAGAGATCCTTGCACTAGACTAAAAGTTTAGTTCAAGGAGCCACATAGTTTTTATAAAGCATTAGCGGTAAGCAAGAGCCAAGGCTCTGGACTTCCCATAAACCAAGTTCAAGGCTGCTACTATAACTGAATTTTCTTCTCACAAAATTTCCACTAGTTTAGTGTGGTGGTCAGAAGTGGAGGGAAACAACAAAAACATTGCATCCAGTGTGGACCAAACCCTGACAATCTTTGTAAGGGAGCCAGGACATTGTGGTATTGGAAAGGAATGTAGTATTATCTATGCCAAGTCTTGTGGATATCATAAATGCTAGTGTCTCCAGATAAAGGTCAACAGCACTGTTCAGGTTCACTAACCGATTTACAGAACCGAAACTCCTGGAACAAAAGGACAGCCATTCATCAAAGCAAAGACTGCAGGACTCCTTTGTGCCAAGGAGCACATTCAGTCTTGTATGGAATGTCAAACAGTGGGCAGGGCCCAAAGAGAAAGAGGCATGGGCACAACTATCCCCCAGTGCTAATTTTGTAGCTGATTAATCACTCGTTTATTCAAATGACACCAACATTTTATCCTGTCCCGTTCTACATCACAATAAAACCCTAATTCAATTTCCCCAGCAGTGAAACTGGGCTGGGTAGATTATGATAAACCAACTAAAGACAAAGAAAAACAAAAGAAAAAAAATTATAGGATCAAAATACTCTAATTTCATCCCTTTTCATTAGCATTAGAGTGCAATCGACCAAACCAAATGGGCAGAATAATTACATGATGATGTAGCTTCCTGGACTTTATTTTTCACCAATTTTACCAAGAAAATGAAGAGGGGGGGCTGTATCTGTAGGAAAAGATACGTTTAGCCCCAAAGTTGCTAAAGCTTGACCTATAGCTTAAAACCTTTTCTGGTCACATAGTATTTCCTACATTACTCAGCTATAGGCAGCTTCCATAATACCAATGGAAAATTTACCCTATTGTTCATCATATAAGAATTTGGAAGTATCACAGCTTAAGCCAGTTTAATCAAAATCACACACATTTTATGATCCGGCATTCAAACAAATGAGTATTTCAAGACAGGAACTTCACCACTACGCTTGGCCATATCATTTTCAAATTAAATTTTAGATTTATACTTTCTTATTACCATACAGTAAAGATCAATTAAGTCCCTCTTGAAAGACTCTTTTATATAAAAAAACAAAGACAGCAAACTCTGAGCCCAGAGTTATTTGGCACAAGCAACTGAGTCAACATTTGGAACCTTGCTACTTTACCTACTGCTGAACAATCCTCAGAATTGTCTCTTGATGAGGTTGAAAGTACAGGGGATCCCAAAACTTTTGTGTTCAGAAATGTGAGCGGAGAATAAAATAAATATCATATTACTCCTGGATTTATTGTTTAAGAATATTTGCCTTTGTGCCTCACAGTTAGGTACTCTGTATCTTATTTCGGTAAGTTAAGGACTGTTGTTTCTACTCACCAAACCTTAAAGAGATCAAAGCCCATTATCCAGAGTGAGCCATAGAATTATGCTTTTTAAGACCTAAAGTCCTAATTAATTTAGTGCCTCCCACTTGGAGGAGGAGCTGATGATAAGTAGTGATAAAGCAGTGTGCGCTAGGATTCTTGCTTATAATCAATAAATTAGGAACCAGAAACATTCTAGACTAGCACTTTGAGATTGAGTCAGCTGTGTTTATTTCTAATTCCCATGTCTTGAGGGGGAGGGAATCCTCTTTGAGAAAATTCCAGGCTGTTTTTGGCTTATTCAGAGGCAAAAAGAGTTTCTGTAATCAGTTATGGATGTGTTGAAGTGGAGACTAAACAATAATTTGCTGTGGATGCTTTTAATTTGTATTCCTACACTGACCAGTATAGGGAATTGTTAGCCCCTTTTAATGATTCTATTCTCATCTGTAACAATGTCTCCCTTAGTTCATACAGGCTTTTTAGTCTTTTTCCAATTCAGGCTTTCTTCCCTTAGCTCTACCAAAATAAACACAGATCTGAACCACATGCAAAAAGAAAAAGAAAAAAAAGGAAAGACCCCATCTGTTATTCAAAACAATTGGCAAAGCTGAAACTGTTTTCAGTGTTGCACCTGAATGAAAATGAGCTCAGTCAAGTTTACTGATTGCAGGCTGTTAGCCACAATTTAACAGAAAAAGTCTGTGCTCTTCATATCTCAATATTCCAAAGTCCTTAGCTTGTCTGCAAACTGAATTAAGGACTTCACTTAGTCATTTTATCTTTGGTCATTGCCATGCAATGTGGAACTTACTCATATTAGCATACCTCTACTGAAAGCAATGGATTGATAGGAAAGCTCAGGAAAAAAAAAATCCAGCTCTGCAGGGGTGAGGAAGATAGAAGAGAGTTCCAAGTTCCAAGGTTAATAGTAATATTTACAAAGCGTTCTCAGATAGAATTTAAATATTCAGCTTGCCTTGGAAACTGAAGAAATGCCAGGAACCACACACTAAACTCTTCCAACCATTTACCAGGGATTGTCATTCAGCTGCTTTCAAAGCAGAAAGCAGAAAAAAAGACAAGGTTTTATTGGGATAATATCATGAACCCTGACTGTCAGCTAGAACTAGTCCTTCTTTTTTTTTAAATAAACTTTATTAAAGATTTAAATATATATATACAATACATAATGCAACACATTTTGTTGGAAATGAAACCAATGTGAAAAACAAAACCAATAAACATGAAACATATATGTTTCTAATCACTTAGACGGTGTGAACTAGTCCTTCTATCAGTCCGTTTCACCTGTTTCCAGCTCTAGAGGTTGTGATACACTGTAATTTTTAACTTCCCCAGTCCTCTTATTTGCCAGATAATGATACCTGTCCTGCCCTACTATATTGTAAGGTTGCTTGTTGTGGGGGGGAAAGTGGATATATAAATTAAGCTTTGAGAGCATTGCTGATTTTCAAGAACAAATAAGAAAGACTGGGGGTGACATGATAGGAGTGTTCCAATATCTCAGGGGCTGCCACAAAGAAGAGGTAGTCAGTCAACCTATTCCCCAAAGCATCTGAAGGCAGAACAAGAAGCAATGGAAGGAAACTAATCATTAGAGAAGCAACTAGAACTAAAGAGACATTTCTTGACAGAATAATTAATCAGTGAAACAGCTTGATTTCAGAGGTTGCTGGTGTTCCATTACTGGAGATTTTAAAGAAGAGATTGAAAAAATGTTTGTCTGGCATCTTCTGAGTAGGAAGTGGGACTAAAAGACCCCAAATTCCTTTCAGTTCTGTTATTCTGTACAGTAGTGGGTGAGGACATTAGAGTGGGGTGAGGGTCCCTGCCTGAAACCCGACCTCTGGCCCTCAGTTTCTGCCAGCATTACAGTATCTAAGCAAACATTCATCCAAAGAAGGTAAACACTGCACACATATTGTATACTGTGCAGAAATGGCAGGTAGCAAGGGTTACAATTAATGCCTGACGGTTGTGAAAATGCCAGCAGGTACGATACTAAATCTCTCTTACTCGTGCATAAATCCAGTATGGGTTATCCCAACGAGGCTAAGATGAAAGTGAGGGAACCAAAATTCCACAAGCATAGGCTGTACGAAGTCCCTGAAACCATGTTTCCAGAAGTAAACCAATGCAGAAAACACATTTTAGACAAGTATTAAAAAAAAAAAAATTCAGGAAGTTCTTAACTGACATTCAAACTCTGAGGGTTTATTACCTCCTTTGTGACACACAATAATGTTTCAAAGGCAAAGCGGAAACAACTGCTTTGGTACTAAGAGCATCACACAAGGATTTGGTTTCCAAGAGGTCTATAAATATGTAAATACACATTTGATTTTCTGCTTAGAAAATGGTAAAAATGTGTTAAAAGACAGACTTCCACATACTACTTATTCAATATTTGCCAGCCTACCTACCACTGTACTGTACTTTCGAATTTACTGAACAAATAATATGTTACTTTTAAACTGGTGATTTTTTTTCACAGACAAGTTACAGATAAACTATGCTGCCAATTATATCCATGAGCCACAATAAATGGTTATGTTTCAGGCAGACCCCCCTCATTCATCCCTTTTATATTATCTTTTTGCATAAATTGTTAAGTTTCCATTTCAAATGGATGAGCCTGTAACCTAAGCCATTTGAGTTTCATCTTTCCTACAGATAAAATTACTCTTTTTAAATGCTGCACTGATCAAATCAGCATCGTTTTTTTTCAGAGAGATGTACAAAGACATATATTTACAGGCACACAACTATGTTACAGTTTGAACCCTGGCACTGAACATCTAAAAACAATATATTTTTGCCTCAGTTTTCTTAGAAGTACACTACCAACACTTTAAGTTTAAATTAGATAGCAAGCATGTTTAAGATTCCCCCATCTGAAAATATAAAAAAAAAACCTACATAGCCCTGAATCAACAGTCCTTTTTCTTAAGAAATGCATTTCTTTCTGACATACCTTACGAATGGAGAGGAGAACTCCCTCTTCGGCACTAGACTTTTCAACAGCTTCACTCACATTTCAGTAGTTCCAAGACATGTCACAGCCAGCAAGAGCTCAGAGAATGAAAAATAAAACAATTTCCCCCTTTCCGTCTTTCTTCCTTGCGGCATGGGAAAGCTTTACACGTTATAGATTTGAAAGCGCACTCATCTCCCTCCCTCTCCTCACTATGAGAAATAATCTCCTCCCTGCTATTAGAAGCATGTTACCATTATCTGTTAAAGCACATGTCACCACACATATGCAAAAGCTGTGTGAAAGCTATACTTATTTATACAGGAAGCACGAGCCACAGCACTTCCTAGTTCCCAAGTCCCATTTCAACTTCAGGTGATTATTTTTAACCCTCCCAAAGGCTGGCTGATGTCTAACTTACTTTTTTTTTTAATTAAGAAAAAATCTTCCTGAATTCTAACTGGGTAGTCCAGGAAAGCTATCAAAACATTTTGTTCCTAATTAAAGAGCTGGATCACAATTGATTTGGAACACACGCACACACACGCGTGCGCACACACGCGCGCGCACACACACACACACACACACACACACAAAGACAAAAGCATCAAAAGCTTTTGATTAGAGCTCCTGCTTTTATTTCCTCCAGGGTTCTTGGTCTTTAACTGCTGTGAGAGAAGCAGAAACACAACAAAGGCTATCTATCCTGAGAGCTGCATCCACCGCATTTCTTTATGTTATACACATCTATTAATGGTACAGCCAGTGTGTTTAGAGATGGGTTGTGCTGTTCAGAATTCATTCTTCTGTTGTCTTACGCAGCACCTCAAAGTTTAGGCACTGTAGATAAACTACACTGAATGTAACACACAAAAAGCAACATTACACTGATGTAGTGCAGGGGTGTCAAACTCGCATCACTTATGCTATCGTCATGTGATGCATCATGACTTTTCCCCCCTTCGCTAAAACCGGGGTGGGGGTGGCCAGCACGTGACACATCTGGCCCGCAGGCCGCAAGTTTGACACCCCTGATGTAGTGGTTAAGATGCTAACTAGAAACTGGGAGACTGAGTTCAAGTTCTCCCTTAGGCATGAAATCTGGCTGTGTGACTTCGGGCAAGGTACTTTCTCTCAATGCAACCCACCTTACAGGACTGTTATTGTGGGGAAAGTAGGGACCAGGTGCATTATGTTATGTCTCCTTGAGTTCTACAAATTAAAGGTGGGATAGACATATAATAGATAAGATAGATAGATAGATAGATAGATAGATAGATAGATAGATAGATAGA